TCTCACTGTAAGGCAACCCAGGCAGAGCTGAGGACCTGACCAGGCCAGGATCCATCCCCATCCCAGAGAGGATCTCAGGGAAGGACCAGTCCATCCCCATCTACCCTAAGTCTCACCCCAGGAGAAGGCACAGGAAAGGAAGGCAAAAGCCTCCCTGTGGAGCTGACAGCCTGCATAAAAAACCAATGTAAACCATTCCAGACTAAAGATGGGGTCCTTGTCACACAGTCATGAAATATTAGGCTCACAGACACTTTGAAGGGTGAGAAAAATAAAATTTATTAAGCAAAAAGGATAGAGAGGAACCAGGGACCCTCAGCAGAGCCAGAGTCATGCTAGCATAGGCTTCTCTCTTCACAGATTGAATTCCAGATTCCATACAGGAAGGGAAGAGGCCAGGCTCTCCACACTGCAAACAGTGCAAACTTCCCGAGGCTCCACTCCAGTGCTCACTCCTCCCAGTGTGCAGGCCAGCTGGAGGTTCTCTGATGACCCCTTTATACTCAGCTGCCTTATTCCTCCCTCTAAAGAAGTACATCCAACTGCTGTTAGAAAAGGATGCTGCTTCCAACCGTCAGGGGCGGTTTTGGGAAAACAGCACTCAGAGTCCCCTCAGAGGCCTATCTAAGGGTCCCTGGCAGAAGGGGTCATTGTCCAAGGCTCCAGCTGCTTGACCATTCAAGCTGTGATGGTTGAAGGTGAGACAACACACACCAGATTATTAGAAGACAGGTATCAAAACAAAATGAGCCGGGCACGATGGCTCATGCCTATAATCCCAGCACTTTTTGGAGGCTGAGGCAGGAGTTTGAGACCAGCCTGGCCAACAGAGTGAAACCCTGTCTCTACTAAAAATCCAAAAAATACAAAACGCTATATGGGCATGGTGGCAGGTGCCTGTAATCCCAGCTACTAGGGAGGCTGAAGCAGGAGAATCTCTTGAACCTGGGAAGTGGAGGTTGGTGAGCCGAGATCTCACCATTGCACTCCAGCTTGGGCCACAAGAGAGAAACTCTCAAACAAAACAAAACAAATCAAAGCGAATCAAAACAAGGGGAGGGCTAAGGGCAGCTCAAAAGTCCCAAGGCCTTTTGCCAGTTTGCACAGGGAGAGGGAGGCCAAAAACCCCACTGGTAAAAAGAAACTTGTTCCTTTGGCCAGCATGCTGTGCTTCTGGGTTCCCTTCCCCTGAGCCCAATCCTAAGCCAACCAGTTTAAGGTTTGAAAACTTAACTTTTCTCAGTTTGGAGGATACATCTGAGGAAAGTGTCCCATAGTATAGAGACAGAATTAGCTCTCTGTGAAGACAGGACAGAAGAGGAGAAAGAAAAAGATGTTTTTTCAAAGGAGTCCCAGGGGTTCAGGATGGATTTCAAAGGGGTACAGATGGAAGATGGATGGCTACCCATCTAAAAACAGGGGAGCCGGCACACCTGGTTTCCTTCTCTTCCTGGCAGATATACCCTGGGTATGTCAGGAAGAGAAGGGTGTCCTCTTTCCCTCTTCTATCCTTGCATCCCTGAGTCCCAACAACCTTGGCAGGCACCAACCATAGGTGCCAAAGCAGCTTGCACTCATGAAGCAGGGAGGGCCTAGAGAATAAGAATTATCCACTCTCACCCCGTCTCTAGCCCACCTACTCTCAGTAGCCTTGGAGTTCCCTATACCTCATTTATGCCATGGATACTACTCACCCATGAAAAGGAACAATATAATGGATGAAACTAGAGACCATTAATCTAAGTGAAGTAACTGAGGAACAGAAAACCAAACATCTTAGGTTCTCACTCAAAAGTGGGAACTAAGCCATGAGGATGCAAAGGCATAAGAATGATACAATAGATTTTGGGGCCTTGGGGGGAAAGGGCAGGAGGTGGGTGCGGGAAAAAGACTGCACATTGGGTAGTGTACACTGCTCAGGTGATGGGTGCACCAAAATCTCAAAAATCACCACTGAAGAACAAGAAAGCAGGAACCATTTCTACATATGTTCCAAATAATATTAAAGGCTCAATCAATATTTCTTCAAAAACAAGCCAGCACTAGTACCAAGTGTTAGAAATAAAAACATTAAAATTATTTCAAGTATTCATTTTGAAATAAAATTCAAAGAACTATTTTTATGTGTGTTGTGGTGATTTTGTTGTGGTATAACCAAACACCTGTTACCCCAAAAACTATTTAAATTAAAAAAATGAAAAAATTAAAAAGTCTATGATAGAAAAATAAGAGGTCTTATGAATCTGTCAGTCATATTTCTGACAGCATGCCAAATAGATTTATGTATTTATATGTTGTATACACAATATTTCTCTACTATAGAAAGCTCTAATTCACTGACTTAAAGATAAATACAAGTACATAAGTCAACAATTTTATCAATAAAAAGACTAGTCAAATGCTTTTTCACCTTTATGTGACTTAAGTAAAATCTTTTATAAATAAGCTGACTTTCAAACTATTGGGAAAATATTAGAAATTCTGTGAAAATTTCTAGCATTTTCATTTGCATTTGTTGATCAAGTGATTTCATGCTTATTCCTGCAGAATACTATTAAGATTTGTTATAAGGGTTATAAAACGATAAAACCCAACCCAAGACAGAATGATCTTTGCTTGTGTAATTTTTGATAAAAAAGACATGGAATAATTTGGTTCAATGAAAACATCTACATTCTGAGTTATTGGTAAAATACCCTTATATTTAACCTTAAGAAAATTACTTAAATAGGCTGGGCATGGTGACTCATGCCTCTAATTTGGGAGTACTTCGGGAGGCTGAGTGGGGGCCCATCACCTGATGACAGAAGTTCAAGACCAGCCTGGCCAACATGGTGAAACCCTGTCTCTACCTAAAATACAAAACAATTAGCCTGTGTGGTAGCAGGCACCTGTAGTCCCAGCTACTTGGGAGGCTGAGGCAAGAGAATCAGTTGAATCCAGGAGGCGGAGGTAGCAGTGAGCCGAGATTGCACCACTGCACTCCAGCCTGGGCAATAAAAGCAAAACTGTCTCAAACAAACAAACAAAAAAAAAGAAAAGAAAATTACTTAAACACCTGAAATTCATAGCTATAAAAATGGTTAACAGGGAATTTACTTTAAATAATGACTATCACAATTTTCATAATCTAGATAAAATATTAAATCATCTTGTAAATGTAATGGAATAAATGGTTGTAAATAGACTTGTCATATGACTTGGTATCTAAGGTTATTAATAGATATTAAATAGCTGGGTAATTTCCAACTCAAAAAATGTAGGAAAACATTTTTTAAATGTTCTTATTAGAAGGTAAATATCTTTGTCTAATTCAAAGCTTCTATAAAAGTTGTGTATAAAATGAGGTAATAGGAACCAGGAAATAAGAGAAGAAAGTTAAAGACATAAAGAGGTATTTTTGATAAAGGTGAAAAAAAGCAATTTTATATAAGAAGCAATTTTGTGTGATAAATTTTTTGTCCTAAAATAAAATGTTCAAGAAAGAGAATATTTAGGCAAAACAGAAAGTCTAAGCATGTTGTGAATCATCTATGTAAATTGTAATAAGATTAGTTAATGGAAACTTTTTTTTTTTTAGGTAACGGGGTGGTAAAATTTAGTTGGATATGAGTAAGAAGAAAATCATAATAGTCTTTCTAGAGGTGGGTCTTTTATATTAACAAAATTACACAAATACAAACTATAATTGGTTAAAACAAGATTTTATTAAAAATATTTAAAAGATTATTTAAAAATATTTATTTATTTATTTATTTATCAGACAGAGTCTCACTCTGTCACCCTGGCGTGCAATGGTGCAATCTCGGCTCACTGCAACCTTTGCCACGAGTTCCAGGAATTCCACCACAACTTTGCTTAAGTTTCTCTCCCTTCTCCAGCCTCCCAGACTCTGCTCTGCCTTCAGTCTGAGCCAACATTCAAAGCCCGTTTATGCCCCTCCTAAGAACAGGCTGACTTTGGGTGAAACAGTCCCTAAGCTAAAATCTGATTTTGCCATTCTCCACTCTTCTTCCCACCTTCCTTCTAATCTTGTTTGCTCCTCCATAAAAAACACAGCCCTTTTCTGCCTCTTGTGAGATGTAGATCTGATGCTTGATGCTTTCCCCATTGCAATACTCCTTTAGAATAAAGTCACATCTTACCTACATCTGAATTTATTTGACAATATCTAGAAACAGCCTCAGGAAAATGACAATTATTCCCTCAGAGAGGACATCACAACCCACCTCCTATTCTCAACTCTGGTCATGTCTATGTGTGCATTCCCAGCTTTCCAGCGCTCTGTAGCTTCTCTCAGTATAAAGCCTCCGTCTATGGCTGCTGCAAGCTGGCTGGGACACTGAAGGGGAGGACCCCCAGGAAGAAAAGACTGCGCTATTCATGAACTCCTTTGACATGTTTTAATACTAATACTGCAATTTGGGGGAAAATAAAAAATATTTTTAAAAAAACAGAAAAGTTATCTTTAAAATCTAAAAAATTTAAACTATTGTTTTAAAAGCCTTACATAGGCCAGGTGCCCCTGTAATCCCAGCTACTTAAAATAAAACATTTAATTAAGGAAGGAGGCTGAGGCAGGAGAATGGCTTGAACCCAGGAGGTGGAAATTGCATTAAGCTGCGATCATGCCACTGCACTCTAGGATGGCAACAGAGTGAGACTCATCTGAAAACAAAAGAAAAAAAGCCTTACATAGTTCACAGCTATCAGCTGACACACTAAGTATCTGTGAGTGGGCAGAAGTGGTTATTTTGGAGTGGTTTCTATAACTCTGTTTACATTAAAAGGGACAGAAGAGTGTAAGACTGCATTGTTGTCCCTACAAGGTCCCATTCTTTACTATTAAGTACAACCTTAGCTGTCCTTGAGTTAACTTGTATTGAGGTGTTTCTTCTTTTGAAAACATGAACTTTTCTAGTTCCTTAGCAGGAGAGGTGGCATTCTCCTGTCTTTTTTGATGAGGGGTTCAGATGTTACATTACCCCTCATTTCTTCCTTCAGGAGAGGACGGCCTTAGCGTGCCGAAGACGAATTAAATCATCAGCACTGAAAGACCAGTTCTTGTGAACAGCATAGAACACTTCATCTTGTTCCATCCTTGATAAAGCCTAAGAATGTCAAATAGAAAAGAGGTACAATTTTTAAAAGGGTTCCAACCTTTTAACAATCACCACTGATGGTAAGCCACATGTGCAGACTCCTTTAGCTACTTTGGCTGAGGTTTACACTGCCAAGTTCTGGCAACTTACTTAGGTCATCCCCTTTCAGGGATAGAATTAGATTGCTGGAGCAAAGGGGAAGCTTGCTTTATTAAGTTACTTAAAAATTGGGCTCCCATTACACACTGGGGTCTGTTGGGGGAAATAGGGGAGGAACAGTGGGGGATGGGGAGGTGGGGAGAGAGCATGGGGAGAAATGCCAGATATAGGTGAAGGGGAGGAAGGCAGCAAATCACACTGCCATGTGTGTACCTATGCAACAATCTTGCATGTTCTTCACAAGTACCCCAAAACCTAAAATGCCATAAAAAAAATTGGGCTCCCAAAAATGTCACAGTATTGTCACAGGCTTCTAACAGTATCATTTGTTACCTGTGCACTTGTGCCTTAAAAATAACGAATGCACAATTTTGCAAAAAGTTAGTTTATTAATCTATTCAAATTCTACCCAATCTATGAGTTATTATATACTCAGAAAATTTTAACCAGGCAGGCATGTGCTGGATTGTATTAAAATGTCAACAAAGTCTAATGATTAAGCATCAAAAGGCACTACTTTTATGCTTAGGGTAGAAAATTGTATTATTTTAAAATATTTCCATGATGCCACAGAACATGCCTATTTTAAATGTTCATCTTTGTCAGCTGTAATTTTGCTGTGTACTTATCAAAAGTCACAAACCATAAAAATTACTTTGTCCCATAAAAGTTATCATTTCCAGTAAAATCCCATGTACTTCCTGCAGCCAGTACTTGAGACACACATACCTCATACAGTCTAAGTGCGTGTCTCTTGGCTTAGGCACTAATGGTTTGTCTAACAAACCCATGGGACTGACTGCACTGTGGTATACACAGTAGAAAGTGACAGAAATTTGCAAACTGAGTAATAAAAAGTAGTCAAGAGTGGGAAGTGCATTATGTATGTAGACATTGTTAGAAATATAATGGCAAGAAATCATTTCTGTATGATTATTTGCAAGGGCAAAAGTTCAAAACGTTTCAAATTCATTAAGAATGAATTTAATTTGATTAAAACATTCTGAATTATGGCCACAAAAGAGATAATATCTATGATTTTCAAAAAACATGAATCTTTATAAAAACCATAAAAGATACAGGAACTAGAACGCCAAAAGGTTAATAAGCTCTTCAGTATGTTAGTTAATTTCGAAGCTTTCCAATTTTCTAATAGCTACTTAATATGACCTAGTCATAAATGTTGACACTGGTGTTTGACTGAAAACCCACTTAGTAACTTCGTAGCCTTACCTTCAGATCCCATGCTCTTTCTCTGTCAAGAAGGTAATGTGGCAAACCCAGGCCATGCCTGAATGCCAGTTCACGAAGTTGGAAATAGTATCTAGTATAAATGCTTATAGAAATGTCGGTATTATAATTTATTAGCTCTGCGAAGTACATTAGCAACTCGTGCCTGGGGAAGCAGAAACAAAAACAACAAAACACAGGATGATATTAGTTCACTGGGCTATCTTCAAAAACATGATTCTTATGTAAGAAATGTGGTAAAGCTATCATGTGCTCTAGTTTATTAGAATTCATGAAATAGCCGGGCACGGTGGCTCAAGCCTGTAATCCCAGCACTTTGGGAGGCCGAGGCGGGTGGATCACGAGGTCGAGAGATCGAGACCATCCTGGTCAACAGGGTGAAACCCCGTCTCTACTAAAAATACAAAAAGTTAGCTGGGCATGGTGGTGCGTGCCTGTAATCCCAGCTACTCAGGAGGCTGAGGCAGGAGAATTGCCTGAACCCAGGAGGCGGAGGTTGCGGTGAGCCGAGATCGCGCCATTGCACTCCAGCCTGGGTAACAAGAGCGAAACTCCGTCTCAAAAAAAAAAAAAAAAAATTCATGAAATAACTTACACTGGGCAGAACCCGATCGAGTGAAGAAGTACAAGAAAGCATGCAACTTTCCAGTTCTCTTTGAAAACTCAGAAAAAACTTGTACCGAAAACAAAACATGAATGTACAAAATGTGTTAATAAACTTGATTTTCCCCTATGCTTTCAAAGGCATATTCACATTTAATATGGAGAAAAATGACGTAATCTTAAGAAACATGGTAAAGCCTTCAGCTTTTTAATTTCTTTGAAAACATGAAAGGATTCAATGGAGAAATTCCTTAAAAATACAAACATGTGGTAAGGTCTTCAGTTGTTCCAGTTCCACATGAAGATAAGAACTCATTTCTGAAATAAAACCTATGAATGTATAGAATGTAGAAATGCCTCCATTTACATGATATTTGCTCCAAGACCCATGATAATACACACCGTAGATAGACCTTATAAATATAAGAAAGCACATTGGATTGGAACCCTGGTAGATTACCAAATACAGAAAACTTTATAGTTTTAAGAATTTCTTCAACATCAATGTGAAAACTTTTCCTAGAGGGAAATCCTACTAATGTTCATAAATTGAAAAGCCTGATGCAAATTGATTCTTGTATAATCTTCAAAAAGGTACATAAGTAAATGTTATACTACTTCTGTTTTGTTTCTCAGTGATTCTTCATTTGAAAGGGTCTCTGTGCTTACTTCCGCTTCTTTTGCAAGAAAACACTGAAGTTACAATTTTGTAGATACTCTTTAAACAATATCATATGCATTTAATAGGCAGTATTTTTTTGTTAAGTCAGTTAACAAAACTTTTCTCTAGTTATTTAAAAATATCACACTGAGCTACTAGAATGGCTCCAAATTCTGTTTTGAAACACATGCAGGTGGGTTCCTACACTAATGTCCAAACGGCACAGCTGCTTGCAGTCCATTCTGCATCCAGCACCCCAGGTTTGGGATGAGGAGAAAGATGACGGCCTCCTCTGTACTTGTGCAACTGACTCGGGGCTCATTCTTGAGTGTCCATTGCACAACTCAGACTTCATGCTCACTCCCAAGGCACCGCAATAGTGATCAGATGACAGAAGTGATGGATGCCATTTATTAGCTGTCACTATTACGGGCCAGGAATACTCTTTACACTGCCAACGGTAGAAAGACCAGAGAGAGACATCTTGGCTAAACTAAACTCATCTTATGAGATGCCTTCGGTTAGGGTGCCGGCCTTACACAGTATGTCTCCTGAGTTGAGTTAGAAATGAAACCCCAAGGTGCTCAGCATCTGTCACCCCTGGCCACAACAGAATGTGGGGATGAGTTGAATTCACGGAGAGGGAAACAGGCTGGAAGCAGCCCTCTGCCACATGATTATTCAGCTGTCCTGGCCAAAGGTTTTGTTTTTGATTTTTTGAGACAGGGTGTTGCTCTGTCATCCAGGCTAAAGTAAAGTGGCATGATTCTAGCTCACAGCAGACTCAACCTCCCAGGCTCAAGTAACCCACGCACCTAAGCCTTTCAAGGCTTGGAACTATAGGCTCATGCCACTTAGCTGGGGGATTTTTAAAAATTCTTTTTGTAGAGACATTTTGCCCAGGCTGGTGTTAAACTCCTGTGATCAAGTGGGTACTCCCACCTTGGCCTCCCAAAGTGCTGCTACTACAGACATGAGCCACTGTATCCAGCACTTAGTCAAACGTTTAAATAAATACAAAACTGGAGTAATCTTACCACTCCCATAGTAGTCAATGTAAAGACTTAATCGTATAAAAACAATACCACAACAACACATTTGGTTTCTTGCTTTTAAAGTTTCAATGTTTTATCCACTGGCTAAGTCGACAAATGCTTGAAGTTCTCCAGTATGGAAAGCAATTAGGATATAAGCAGATATGTGGTTTTCTCATTGGTTTCACTGAAAACCCAGCTGAAACTACTTCCAACATTAATTTCCTATTCATATAACCACAAAGCTACGATGGGAATGTCAATCAGATATTTGAATAATCAGCTGACCAGGACTTAATTTACTATAGGAATATATGCACTTCATAATCTCTTTTGCGTATTTCCATAAACGTATTTTAACTGTGTAAAATATGGGATTTCATAGAATGATCTTGTTTATTAATACTAGTTATTGAAGAAAACAATTATCCCTATAGGATGTGTATCTTCTTAGTTTTTCTTGTTTTTTAAATGGCTGAATAGCATACCCTTTACAAGCACAGCAAATTTTCTGACTAGAAGCTGCTCAGTTTAACTTAACATGTGTGTGTGTGTGTATATGTGTATATATGTAGTTGTTTATCAATAATGTTTTTAAATTTTATTTCAATAGTTTTTGAGGAACAGGTGGTTTTGGTTACATTGATAATTTCTTTAGGAGTGACATTGGAGCTTCTGGTTCACCTGCCACTTGAGCAGTGTACCCAATATGTAATCTTTTATCCATCACCCCCCTCCCAACCTTCCTCCCCTAGTCCCCAAAGACCATTGTATCATTTTATGACTTTGGATCCTTGTGGAGAATACATGATATTTGGTTTTCCATTCCTGAGTTACTTCACTTAGAATAACAGCCTCCAGCTCCATCCAAGTTGCTGTAAAGGCCATTATTTCATTCTGTTTTATGGCTCAGCAGTATGCCATGGTATATATAGTCCACATTTTCTTTACCCATTAATTGATGGGCATTGAGGCTGGCTCCACATTTTTACAATTGCAAACTGTGCTGCTATCAACATGCATGTGCTTTTGTCTTTTTCATATGACTTCTTTTCCTTTGGGTAGATACCCAGTGTGAAATAGCTGGATTGAATGATAGTACTGTTTTCCACACTAGTTGTACTAGTTTACATTCCCATCAGCAGTGTAAGTGTTCCCTTTTTACCAAACCATACCAGCATAAATGATTTTTTGATTTTTTAAATTATGGCCCATTCTTGCAGGAGTAAGGTGGTATTACATTGTAGTTTTAATTTGCATTTCCCTGATAATTAGTGATGTTTCTGAAGAAAAATACATTCTAACAAGACTAACAGATGTTGAAAAGTTTGAAGAAAAATCTGATAGACGCTAATTTTTAAAAGGTTCCATTTATGGTCAAAAAGAGACCATTATAAATAATCAACAGCAGAGGGACAAGATAAATGTCCATTAAACACTTTGTTGTAATGTTTTTTAATCTCCAAAGACCGTGAACATAGCTCCTGTTCAGAGCATAGTTCCTGATGCTTCTGCGTTCACAAACGGCACTACATAGAACTGGTCATCTTGGGGCTGGCCTCTGTCTCACTGCCTCTGGAGCTCATATCTGAGGAAACCTCTGTATTCTCTGACCTTGGAACTAGAGCCAGAGCCCCACAAGATTAGCTGCAGGTCTTGAGATCAATTTAACTGCCACTATAGAGGAGCTAAGTGTTCATAATTACAAATTTTGCTCCCTTCAAGAAACCAGCTTACTAGCTGGGCGCAGTGGCTCACGCCTGTAATCCCAGCACTTTGGGAGGCTAAGATGGGTGGATCATCTGACGTTGGGAGTTCGAGACCAGCGTGACCCATGGAGAAACAACATGGAGAAACCCCTGAAGGGGAAAATTAAATAATAACAATAGTAGTCTGTAATTGCTACATAATAAAGTTTAATCTGTTGTGTTCAATATAAAACCTAATGCCCAGCTCTGCTTGAAATTAACTAACTTCCTGTAAAATCCACCCTATCTACCCTCCCCATTTTCTCAGCAAAGTTCCCAGGCATCTCAAGACTCCCATTTTTGTTGCAGACCAGCTGCAAGGTCACAGGGTAATATAACACCCAAAGAATGTGCAGTGTGTTTCCCAAAATGCGATTTTCAAATGTAACGTACATCACGAGACATGTCACAAGTTAACTGTTCTTTGCTCTGGCTTCTGTAAACCTGTTAGCTGCTATGTCATCCTGGGTGTATAATAAATCAAGCCCTGTCTTTGTTAGGCTCTCAGCCTTGGGATACAAATCCGCCGAGCTGGTGGCCTCTGTAATAAAATCCTCCTGTTTCACCCATTGGTCTCTCCAATCTCCTGAACATGATGTAACACCCCATCTCTACTAAAAATAGAAAATTAGCCAGGTTTGGTGGCACATGCCTGTAATCCTAGCTACTCAGGAGGCTGAGGCAGGAAAACTGCTTGAACCCAGGAGGCAGAGGTTGCAGTGAGCCAAGATCACGCCACTGCACATTGCTGCCTAGGCAACAAGAGCAAACTCCATCTCACACACACAAAAAAAGGTAAGAAACCAGTTTACAGATTGATGACAGTAGTGATTAGAGAACTTTAGCTTCTGCAACTTTCAAATGACATTCATTTTCTGTTAAATCCTTCATTAAAATGGCTACCAGCAATATCACCATGACAACTCAGTTTATACTATTAGCAAAGTGGTAACTTAGCAGCCATTTGAACAGCAATCGTCACTAGTCTCTTCTTGGTTACAAGAAGCCTCATTTCAATTGTAAATATACACTGTGTTAATTCTGAATGAAAGTCTTCAAAAAATTTTGGCGGGTACATTGTTGGTGTACATATTTATGG